AAGTGCGGCTCTTGCCTGAGACTGCCTCTCCTTCTAGGACCCGAACTTCCAAGCTGTGCCACGACTACACGGATAGAGGGTGGCTCAGCTTCAACACGGGCTCTCGCTTGAAACATCCGCAGATGTATCATCATACCTTTGGAGCGGTGCAGCACTTGCACGGATGAAGGGCAGATCTGGTACAAAACGGAACTATCGCTTGACACCTCCTGCGACCTTTCTCATCCGCCTCTTTTTTAGCTCAGATTAGGTTGGGCCTGTCCCCCTGCAGGCGGATTTTGGACGAAAAATGCAGAAAAGACCCAACACATATTCAAAACTATTCAAAGATAGTCCTCCAACAAAATCGTCCCCAGACTATTTTTTTGCTATTTTCGAGTGTTCCTCCTGTAGCGGGACATGCCCGAGCTAAGGCTGGGAGGATGCGGGGCTCAGCCTTTTAACAGCACGGGGCCTCGCCTGCCTGGCAGGCCCACCGGGCGCTCGTCACTCCAAGGCGGGGGGGTGTCCCGCAGTGGAAGCGGAGAGTTGCAGGGGCTCGGGAAAGGGGGCCTGGGATGGGGGGGTGCATTGCAGCACCGTCGATGCCTCCTGGGTGTGCTCTGGTCCTCCCGCTACTGCCCGCGCCATAGGGGTCAAGCCCCGTAGCGCCCCGCGGCGTTCTCTGGTCCTCCTCCTCCTCCTTCTTTCTCCTCGCCCCTTCCCCCCCCCTGGTGGCGCGATCTCCGGGGCGGCGGGGACGACGCTCGGGATGACGCCCCGCTGGCAAGACGACGACTGCGGCTGCGAAGATGGCGGCGGCGGCGGTAGCGACGACGACGACGGCGGCGGCGGCAGCGCGCGGCGGGGCGCCGCGCGGGAGCCTCTTGACCATCCTGAGGGCGGGTTGGGGCGCGGGGTCGGTCTGGCCGCGGGGCCGATGCCCCGCGTGCGGCCCCGCGAGCGGAGAAGCTTCCAGGATCGAGGCTCGAGGCTCCAGGTCCGTGGAGGAGCAGCAGCGCTGTCCGAGGAGGAGCAGCGAGGTTTTAGATATTCTCGGCCTTTTTTTCCTGTGTGTAGGGGGGCGAGAGGGAGCCATGGCCGCCGCGGTTGGGTCCGCCCTGGAGCCCTGGTCGGAGCGCACCCCTAGACAGGTCTAGGAGCCGATCTTTGACTCCCGATCCTGGACCTCCTCGCGTCGTGACAAAAATCACGACGGACAATTTCAGGCTGTTTCCTCTCCCCGGAGCCCCTCTGGGCCCTACGGGCCGCCAAATACTGACTCGCAACGAACAGCAGGTCCCAAAGAGGAGATCCAAACACCCGAGGGTCTACATTGCGAACAAAAAGGCAACGACTGAGGCCTGGAGAGGCGGAGGAGGACAAGGGAAGACGTTCTCGGATGCTTTTGGACGAGGGAGCAGCTTCTGGGAGGGAGGGCACGTTTTTGGTATTTTTGATGCATTCTTTGGGCCTCCAGAAACCTTCTCGTCTCTGTGGCTGGTTTCCTCTTCGAGCCCAGCGGGTGGAAAGCCTCCATTCTGGAGGTCGGACCTCAAATTATCCAAAGTGAAGGAGCCGAGAAGGACGAGCCTCCAGAATGGAGGTCGCTTCCAATACCCTTTCAAAGTTCTGGCCAGGACGCACCCCGGTGCAGGCCCAAGCACTTTGATTTCCGAGCCAAGCGCGCTCCACAAACGTCTGGCCAAGGCACGCCTTCCCGTCGCGAGCCGTGTCTTGGTGGAGGCCCATGCCCCGAGCCGTGCAGTGCAAGTTGCTGCTGCTGCTGCTGCTGCTGCTCCTCCTCCTCCTCCTCCTCCTTGTCGTCGTCGTCGTCGCCGTCCTCGTGGTCATCGTCGTCGCCGCCGCCGTCGTCTGCCTCCGCTTCTCCTCCCCCTCTTCCTCCCCTCCTCCTCTCCCCCTCCGCCTCGTCCTCCTTCTCCTCATCCTCTTCTCGCGGTCCTCCTCCTCCTCCTCCTCCTTCTGCGCCTCTCCCCTCCTCCCATCAGCCGCGCGACTCCAACGTGGGACTCATTAGAGCCCATCCGGAAAGAACAGAACTTCTGGGGCGCGCCGAAGACCCATGGTGGGCCGGGTTCCGCGGAAGGAGGAAGTCCCTGGCGAGGGCTTCGAGCACGGGGCTAGAACCCCGTCGCAAAAATCGGAAGATGAATGAACTCTCAGCCGCGGGGGTTCTCGCACGCGGGGTCCCCCCTCCACCAGCGCAAGCAGAGGAGGAAGAAAAGCGCCAGAGGAGGAAACGCGCGAGAGCCCAGATTCTAAATGCAATGCAGCCGCGCCCTCGTAACAGTTGCACCAGCATAGTACTAGTACTCCTTGCACTTTACTGGCTTGTTTTACTGTGGTGCGGTTGTACTCTAGCACAGTGTGCAAGTCTGTACTAGCTGTAATCTCGTACTGATTGCGCTCTCATACCATTTGTGCTCTAACAGTTGTTGCACTCTAGTACTAGTCTTACTGTAGTTGTACTTGTGCTCTCATACTAGTTGCGCTATAGTGCCGGGTGTGCTGTAACACTATCTGTAATTCAACAGTCGTTGCGCTCTGGTACTAGCTGTACTTTAGGACCAGCGCGCTCTCGTATTAGCTGCACGCTACTACATGCAAGTGTTACTTGTATTCACGTGCTAATCGCACTCAAATCCGAAGGGTTCTGGGGTTCCAGTGGCAAGGCGCGCGCGGAAGAAGCAACAACACTCCATGCGCCGTCAGAGGTTCAACATTTAACGGATCGCCGCGAGGAGGCCCCCCCCCGCAGAAAGAAGAAAAGAAATCCGGCCGGGGGGTTGGAGGTCCAGGCATGAATCGTGGAGATGATCTCCTCCCTTTCTCCTCCTCCTACATCCTGTATGCGCCTCCCTCCTCTGCTCTCCTCCTCCTCCTCCTCCTGCTGCTCTCCTCCTAATTCTCCTCCTCCATTCCTCCATACCTCCATTCCTCATCTCCTCTCCTCTCCTCCTCCTCCTCCTCCTTCTCCTCCTCTTCTTCCTGCTTCAAATCCACCATCCTGTCTGCGCGATGCGGGCGTGTTATGAACCTGGGCCGGCACGGGAACGCAAAGAGCGGGTCCGTGGAGCGGATATTTCACACGGTCTCGGGGTTCGGTGGCTGTTTACGCGGCAGCGATTTTGACATAAAGATTGCCATGCATGCTTGTTGGAGCAAACTGGAGTGCGAATCACGGTAGGACGGCTGCCGTGGTGATCGGAGTTGTTATGTCACCGTCCGCTCCGAGGAGCCTTGGCGGTCAGAGTGTTTGACTGCACGGTTCGCTCTGGTGGGGACTCGTAAGAAGCTCTTGGAGGCACCTCGGACTGCCTCTTGGAGGCCTATTGGGGGTCTTTTGGGCCGTTTGGGGGCCTTTTGGGGCCCTCTTGGACCGTCTTGGGGGGCTTGGGCCGGCTTGGGGCGCTCTCGGGGCCCTCTTGTGAGCCTCCTGTGGCTCCCTTGGGGCTCTCCTGGGAGGCTCTTGGGCCTCTGTGGGGCCCTCCTTGGCTCGTCTTGGGGCTCTCCTGGGCCGTCTTAGGCGCTCGTGGACCGTTTGGGAGCCTCTGGGGACGTTTTGGGGCGAACTCGGAGGCCCCCAGGGCCGTGTTTGGCTGTTTTTTGAACCGAAAAACATGAAAAACCCGAAATCCTCAAAAACCTTAGGGGAATCAGTGTTTTTTGCCTCCGGCGTCCCTCTTGGAAGTCCTCGTGGGAGCCTCTTGGGCCGTCTGGGGGCCATCTTCGCCCCTTTTGGAGCGCTCTTGGGCTGTCTTGGGGCCTCTTGGGCGTCTCTTGGGCCGTCTTGGATGTGTCTCAAACCGTCTTGGGGGCCTCTTGGGGGTCTCTTGGACCGTCCTGGGCCGAAAAAGCAGCCAACATGGGCCCCAGAAGGCGTGTTAGAAAATTCCCCTCCGCCATGCCCCTCCCTCCAGACCCGCCCAGTTGGGGCTAAGGCCCTATACAGAACTTCTCTCGCGCTCTTTCCGTCAAATTGTCCTCCGCCACGCCCCCCCCAACCCTCCCCCCGTTGGGTCTAAAACCCTATACAGAACTTCTCTCGCTAGCGCTCTTTCCGTCATGCCCGATGCTTCTCTGCAGGGTTTCTGTATTCTAATCGATCACCCCCCCGCACCGAAGTGTCGCGCGACCCCCCCACCTCCCGAGGCAACGATTCCTGATACAAAACGATGAATCCGCGCTCCTGAGGCTACGACCTCTCGTCAAAAACAAAGAACCCGCGTCCCGAGCTTCCACGACGGCCCGTGCAGGCGACCAGGGACACCAAGATAGCCCCAAATGCCTCGAAAACGGGCCTAACCCCAATGCGGCCGAATACGGCCTCAAGAGGGCCTAAGATGCCTCCAAGAGAGCCCCCCAACGGACCTCCTACAGGGTCTCAAGAAGCCAACGCCTTGATTCCACTTTGGTTTTTGCATGATCTTCGCATTTTCGACTTTCGGGCTTCTGTCAGCTCTAGACGGCACAAGAAACCTCCACGATGGTCCCAAGACGGCCCAAGAGGCTCCCACGAGGGTCCAAAGACGGCCCTAGAGGGCTCAAGAGGCATCCAAGGCGGCCGCAAGGCGGCCCGAGAGTGCCTCTCGTGAGGCCCAAGAACGGCCTCAGAGGGCCCCTCGACTGCCCCAGACGGCGCCAAGATGGCCCCACGACGGCCCCCAGACATCCACCCTATGGCCAAGAGGGCCCAACGACGGCCCAGGAGAGCCCCTAGACAGCCTAAACGTGCCCCCAAACGGCTCCAATGAACGCCCGAGACTGCCTCAAAGGAGGCGAAGACAGCCCCGAGATAGCCCAAACGAATTCCATGTGAGCTCCTCAACTAATGCAGATGAAAGGTGTCAGATATGCCGGCCTTCCAGCTCGTCCTGCTCCTCCTCCTCCTCATCCTCATCGCCATGATCATTACCACGACCATCACCATCGTCATCGTCATCATCATCATCATCATCATCATCATCATCATCATCATCATCATCAGCATCATCACCATCATCATCACCACCACCACCATCACCATCACCATCCTCATCATCATCAGCAGCAGCGTAAACATCAGCATCATACTCAGCATCAGTACCATAACCATAGTCATCATCATCACCATCACCATCACCATCGTCACAATCACCATCACGATCAAATTAACCATCACCATCACCATCACCACCAACATCATAATAATAGGCATCACCACCATCATCATCATCATCATCATCATCATCATCATCATCATCATCATCATCATCATCATCATCATCATCATCATCATCGTCGGCGTCGTCGTCGTCGCTAGCGTCTTCCCAGTCGCCATAATCGTCACCATCATCTGCATCACCACTACCATCATCGCCATCACCATCATCATCATCGTCGTCATCACCACCAATACCATCATAACCACCACCACAATCACTATCACCAGCATCATCACCACCATCATCATCATCAGCAGCATCAGCATCATCATCATCAGCAGCAACATATGCAACATCATCAACATCAACATCAACATCAACATCAGCATCAACATCAGCATCAGCATCACCATCAACATCAACATCAACATCATCATCATCATCATCATCATCATCATCATCATCATCATCACATTCATCACCAACATGACCAGCGTCATCGTCGCCGTGGTCATCACCAGCATCGTCATTGTCATCGTTGGTGCCGTCGTCGTCAGCATCAGCCCCAGCACCCGCCCGCCTGAGTCATGGATCTGCATGAGAAGGGCTATCCCGTCATCGCGCTATTTTAGCTTGCTATCATATCGTGTGAGCAGGTTTGCCGTTTACTCGAGCGTTGGGGTTGACAACGTAAGCAGTTCCAATGACAATGGCGCCACGCAGGGTGCACTTCTGAACTTGCGCCGCATATAACGCACCATACACATAATGCAACCCATGTAGCATCCACTGTTTGCAGCACACAGATTGCACTACAGGCATATTGCATCACAAGTGTTGCACGTCGAGGGTGCAATGACCAATTGTTTGGGGTCTACGATCGTGTATACATCCAACGAAGAGGCTACTCGGGCCCATCCCCTAAATCCCTCCCCCCATGTACTGGCGCTGCCTGATGAGATTACCCACGCGCGTCGGACCGAACCCAAAGGAGGTTGGCGAAAAGCCGAACCCCAGGCAGCTGAGTGTAGCGCAGGGTGCGGCCCTCTCCTCGTCCAATGCGCGCCGCGAGTGGGAATGGAGAGTACGGAGCAACCTCCACCTTTTCGGCCGCGTAGAGGCTCGCTGCTCTCGCTATGGTGCACGATCCAAACGAGGGTGTACCGAAGTGCAATCCGAGACCGCGCCCTCTGGTGACCCCTGGTTCGCCAACTCATTGGTTACATGCCTCTTCGCCGCAACCCGAGGGACGAACGTCCCTTCGCACGCCAGACGGCGGGGACCTGGGCGAAGGTGGCCGTCTGATGGGCGACTTGCGCAGATTGGCCAAACTACTGCATGACGACAAGGTCGCACGCAGCACAAGACTGTCATTGCTCCCAACCTTACCCTCCGAACTTGGTGTCCCTGGAGCTATCCAGGGCCGTTTTTCCGTCCCGAATGTTTTTTTCTAACGGCCCCAGGGTGGGGCCTCCAGAAGCTGAGAACAATCAAAACGGCGGAGGTCTGGGCCCTCATCCTTGAAACGCCGGCCCTTGGACATCTCCTGGGGCGCGGTCCAGCCAAGCTTCCCAGGGGCATTCCAGCCGTGGCGACGAGAAGACTCCCTGCGGCCCAGACAGGCCCTATGACACAAGCATACAAGATCACAAACGCAAGAACGAGCCTCGAACCTCGAGGGGGCGGGCTGTGCCGTGGCATCCGATGCCTGGATGCTCCAGGGTCGCGGGGCCCTTGCGCCTGTAAGCCTCAACTGGCCAGTGCCGCGGGCCTGCGGGCGAACGAGCCAAATGCCCCTGACCATGGCCCTGCCGCAGGCTCTCCTCGCCCGTCCTCGCTGGCCGGCCTTCACCCCGTGCGGAGGCCCAGGGCGAGGGAGGGAAGGCAGAGAGAGGCAATGACTGGACACTCCCCTTCCCCCTGATTCAAAGTTGGCACGCGCGGGGAAGACTGCGGTCGAAGTGCAACTCATCAGAGCCACCGCCAACTTTGATCCCTGGGGCGGGAGCCTTGATGTGTGGTATGAGTGCTCGCTAACTTTTTCCGAGGCCTGGGTGGGAGCGAAGAGAGGAGGCAGAGGCCCGAGAAGTGGCGACTCGAACTAAGTATGCGGCGGCAGGCGTGCGCTCGGGCGCTCTCCTCCGCCCGCCTCCGTGCTGCCGCCATCGACAGCCTGGCGACGAGCCTGTCGTTGGCGCGCCTGAAGTCCTGGGTGCGCGGCGGCCGTGCGCCGGACTGCTGCCCCCCGAAGCCGGGTGCTCGCGCGCAGCCCTCCCCGGACGTCTGGCGCATCGAAAACATCGGAGCGGCCAGCCCCAGATCGGTGCGTAGGCCCTGGGCCTGGACAGGATCGGGGTATGTTCATAGCTCTCGTTGCCCGAGCTTCTCAGCCTCCAGGGATCAATTTCGGGCCTCGGGACGGTCCCAGACACGATTCGAAGTGAAAAGCCGGCCCTGGGGAAGTGGTCAAGGGTTCAAGGGGGCCCCGGGGGGGGGGGCCCGCGCATCGAACGAGAAGCGGAGCGGGGGCCTAACTTCTCGCACTGCGCCGCGCGGTGTGCGACACGCGGTCGTCTTCGCGCCCTCCCGCCGCCCTCCTGGAGAAAGGCCGCTCTCCGGCCCAGGCCGCTGCGCGCGAAACGCGGTTGTCTTCGCGCCCCCAGGGGTGACCCAGGCTGCGCAGCCCTTGCCCCCGCTCGGTTCCGGAGGGAACCGATCGCGCGCTCCTGGTTTGATCGGTATCGCAGGCAGCGCCCGGTTGTCCGATCGCGCCTGCTTTTTCTCAGGATCCGCGGGTTTGGGCCGTAAGACGAAGGCAAGAAGAAAACAATTTCGGGCAGAGATGAATCGAGAACCCCTGGGAGCTGGCGGGTCTGGATGGGTCTGGAGGATGTATCGGGCGCCGCGGCCGTTCCAGAGCGTTCTGGAATAAGAGCGTTCCGAATGATAGCGTTCCAGGCCGCCCTGGGAAGATCAATCTACTTCCTGGGTCTGCCTGACCCTGCCCTCTCTGGCACTTCCTCTCCAGTGCCTACTCCGCTCCCTTTCCTCCTCCCGTCCCTTTCCCAGACCTCCAGCGTCGTGCCCGACTCAAAAGCGACGTTTTTATATGATTTCAGTCCCCCTGAATCCTTTTCGGGCCCTGGAGCCATCGGATGTCTGGGTTGCTCGTCCCTTCCTCTGCCTGTCTTCTTGCCCGCCCTCCAGCTGGTCGAGCGGTCGGCTGCTGGGCAGTTCTTACAGCATTTAGTCATCTCGCCATACTTCATGGAGACCAGAGACACATTTATCGTTCGGCATCGGGCAGCGGTGGCAAGGGTCAACGTGCGCCGCAGGGCGTACTTGGTCAAGCTCTGCGCAGTTCAGAAGCAAAGGGCCCGCGCCGCTATCCAGTGGAGTGGGCGCAGGACGAGGCATTGACGTCGGGCCACGTGCCCGCGCTGCGACGAACGCTAACGCCGCTGCGGCAGAGGCCCGCACGTTGCGCCATCTGCCGGCTCTTCGCCTGTCGGTGTCGAGCTCGTCCACCAGCTACTGCGCAGCACGTTGCGCCGTACAACGCCCAAGCCTCACCAAAGATAGTCAAAAACGCCATCGGATGTCGCGGGCCTCGTCGATAGCTTCGGGCGCTTGTCAGACAACGAATTCTTCAATGCCGGGAGGGAGATGTCGGACTTCGGGCACCCCGGCGTGCAAGTGAAATATCTGACGCTAGTATTGGAGTAGCGCTGTTTCTGTATAGTGTTGATCTCAGGAGCCTTCTGCTCATTTTTGGACGAAGGTTGTGCGAGCGGCTCCGCGCATTCCGTCGGCTGATGGCTTCAAGACTCCTGGGACGTGTAAATACACAATGGATCCGCGCTCTCAGGGCGACGCGGGCCTCAATGCGGCGCACCCCTCACGCACTACGCGCCCCACGGACCCCCAGGGACCTTCGGTTGCCCCTCCAAGAGGGCGAAAAGGTGCTTCATTTCGGAACACTCCTCACGGACTTCGTGGCCTATGAACTTCCAGATGTCCTCGGATGGTCCCTTAGAGGCCTCAAGAGAGGCCAAGGAGGCCACCACAAGAGGCTCCAAGATGGTCTCGCGGGTGCCCCTCGAGAAACAACAAATTGCAACGATCGATGCCGTCACTGCGAAGTGCCCCCTCCCCCCACTCTACAAGGAACGCCAGGACGTCTCTCCGATCCCCCAGGGGAAATAAAAGCTGCCCCAAGAGAAACAGTGCGACTATAAATACCGCCATTCATCGAAGCTGATACCCCCGAACACTCAATGATTTTGGGATTTGCATCCTCGTTTTCCTGTGAGGCCGCTGCTCTTGCGGGCTCAACGAAGTTGGCATCTTTTGCTCTCGGCCGATCGCTTTCACAACACTGCCCACCGATTCTTCTCATGGCACAGCATAGCACGGCTTGCGGCTTCTTGACGATGTGCACAACTGCAACGGATGATGTCACTTGACCCTCCAAGATAGGGTTGTGTCCGCTATCAGATCGCTACCTCTTGCTTGCCCCGTTGATCGCTCTGCTGAGCCTCCTACTCCGCATTTTCCTCTGCACAATGCTTCACATGTTGCTCAACCTTGCGTTTACGAGGTGTGCCTGAACGAATCTATTGAGCAGATCCCACCCATGGTTGCCAATCAAGCTTGAGAGGCCAAGCTCTCCTCGGTGGGCACTTTCTCCGCGTTTCTTCATTGATTTCCCCACTACGTCTCCATCATCCTATCTGCTCTCACACTAGCTCTTCGTCCCCCCTTTTTTGCCAAGCTTAGCCACCGAAGTCCCTCAGGAGCGGCTGAAGCTCGACGAACTCCAAATGATCATGGTAGTGCCTCTCCGGCTTGAGGTCCTGGGCAATGCTCCCTGCATTATCATATTCTCTTGTTGACTGGGTGGCGGCCCACTCTCCAATGAGACAAGTGATCTGCATCTTCTCATCACAAATCAAATCCTTGGCCATTGACGCAAACCTAACCTCTGATAAACAATGCCGACATGAACATCTCTGCCGGTACAAGGCTGTTCGACAATACATTTCACATTATTCCGAGCAGCCTCTGTTCCGTTGCAACGCGGAGTCAAGATACATCCAGGATGTCAGAAACCCTTAGAGGCCTCAGGCTGTGCTTGGCCGCAATGTGCAAAGGATGAAGCCATCCAAACTCACAGCACTGGCAACGACAATGTAAGGGCATCGTCAAAGGGATATCATTCCTCCTCTGCCTCCTCCGGATTGACTGACTGACTAACTGACTGACTGATTGATTTACTGACTGCTTGACTGACGCAACGCCTGCGAAACGCCGCAATCCGCATCGGGCTCGCCGAGACGCGCCACGCGCACGGCCCCGCGAAGTGACAACCCGCCTTCGCCGAAGCAGAGGGGGGGTGTGAGGAAGTCCCTGCGAAGATAATGCAGGGAGGCCTCCTCCTCCTCCTCCTCCTCCTCCTCCTCCTCTTCCTCGTCCTCCTCCTCGTTCTCCTCCTCCTCCTCCTCCTCCTCCTCCTCCTCCTTTCCGGGGCTTTCCGTACCCTGCTTTCGTAGTGGTGTTCGCCTCCATGAGTAAAAACCTGGACGCGTTGTCAAGTTAAGCGTGCTTTTGCCGCCGATTACAGCGAGCACGAAATTGAGCCACCTGGCAATGGTCTGCCGCATCCCCCGCCTGGTGCGGATTTGGACTACGAGGCGTTCGACGATATCATTACCTTGGACATCGGTGTCGACGCAAGATGAAGTCGGTCCTCTAGTATTTTATAGGAGGATGGACCGCGACCATAGAATTACACCTGACACGGCCTCGATCGCTGTGCGAATCAACAGGCCGCCAGGGAAACTGGGAACACCCGATCCTCCAGTGGTTTGCCTCGGCGCGCCCCGTGCAGGACGCCGCAGCGTTCCAGCACGATCCCGTCCCACTCCTACATGACAGCGAATTGGACTTTGCTTCGCGGCACCCCTGCAACGAACAGCTGGGCCCGAGCGGGCGCACACAAGCGTGTAATGATTGAAGGCGCTCCCACGTGCCACGCTGGCTGGGCCTCTGCAGCTTCGTCTGCCGAGCATCCTATCGAACCCTTGCGGGAGGCTGCCAGCTCCCAGGGCGCCGCAGACTCGTTCTCGGCCCTGGCTGGCCCAAACCTGGACACTCCAGTTAGGGGCTGAGGCCTCAAGCTCCTGCCCTCTTCATGGGACGCCCCCGCCCAGCTCCCTCCAGTCAAAGACGAGCGCAGTCTGCATGTGGACCCTTTTACTAAGCGGAGGCATGTGCAACGTGCTTTATCGACTTGTTGTCATTCTGAGTACGCGTGGACCGCAATGCCATCGTCCACCGCCACACCTCCCTCTTTCTCCCTACTCCCGTACTGTCCCTCCTCCTTCCTCCTACCTCTACCTCCTCCTCCTCCTCCTCCTCCTCCTCCTCCTCCTCCTCCCTTCTTCCTCCTTCTCGTCCGCTCCCACCCGCAGCCCCCCCTCTTTTTCTCCTCCATCCTCCTCTACAATTACTCAATATGAATACTATTCTCTTCTCTCCCCTGAGTCTGTGGCGGAATCTTTCTCGGAGTGTTCGGCCCCCCCCCCCTCGCACAAGATGTCGGCGAATTGGGTTGTCGCTTGTGTTTTGTTCACCATGCTGCTCTCGCTGAGACGCTGGCCTCATTTTCGGGCTTCCGCTCCTTCCGAATCGTGCTCCCGCTGCAACGCTGGCTTTATTTTCGCGCTTCCGCTCATTCCGGATCGTGCTCCCGCTGCAGCGATGGCCTTATTTCCGCGCTTCCGCCGCTCGTTCCGAATCCTGCTTCCGCTGCAGCGCTGGCCTCATTATTTTCAGCGACATGCCACAGCATGCTTTCTGGTCCTTCCAAATAGGACCACAAAATTAGAAAACGCCCCCCCCCCGAAGCAACCGTTGGAAGAGATTACACATTCGGTGCCGATTCGTGGGTTTTTTGGGCCGCAGACGCCCCCGCCCCACTTTGGGGCGTCAGGCTACGCGTTGATCTTCAATCTCATGCTATGCCATGTAATGCTATGCCCTGCTACGACATCCGACTGTGCGAATCGAGAGGATATCAACGCCATGGTAAGGGATGGGATGGGAGGGAGGGGTAGGGCGTCAGACATGACGCGAGCGCACCTAGCTTGCATCCCTTCCCGCCCCCTCTTCTCCTCTTCCTCCTCTCCTCCTCCCCCCCTCCCCCCTCCTCCTTCTCCTCCTCCTCCTCCTCCTCCTCCTCCTTCCTCCTCCTCCTCCTTCTCCTTCTCCTTCTCCTTCTCCTTCTCCTTCTCGTCCTCCTCCTCCTCCTCGTCCTCGTCCTCCTCCTCCTCCTCCTCTCTCCCCACAGCCCTGAGGACCAACGTCTGAGGTGTCCACACATGCATACGTCAGCGGTGCTATAGGCGGCAAGTATAGCGGGGGACGAGGAGAGCAGCAATGGCCAGCATCAACCCGACTCGCAATACAGATCGAGCGGGGCGTGTAGATGGGCAACTGACGCCTCTAGCCATGCATCCCCAGGAGGCGTGGGGGCACAGCGTTGTGAGGCTGCCTGCGTGATAACAGCAGCTACGTAGAACTCTACCTGGCTGCTGTCAGGAGGGGTCAGGATCGGCACGGCATTCAAGCACAGGCACTGACGGTCCCCAATGGGCACACAGCTCGACGTGATTGTCGGATACGTTGCCTGCAGGGAGCACATGAACCTGACCTCGGGGACCTTCCAAATACAGGGCAAGTTGGCTTGCGGAGCAGGTGGGTTTAAAATGAGCAAGGTCGCCAGGCCCGAGGACGCCGCACACAGCGCCAGCGTCAGTGCCGCCCGAAGGCACGCATTGTCGAGCTCCAGCTGCCTCCACTCCGAGGGCGACCTGGCTGAAATCCCCCATGGCTCATCGCAGCCCCTTAAAGGCCTGCTTTCTCCACCCTTGGCTTTGCAGCGGGGGGCAGGGCCCCGCGAGGTAAGAAGAAAGTCCGCCAAGAGACCAACAACACGCCCAGCTAGAACCATATCAGTAATGAACAACAGCTCCTTGTGAAATCCCTCGATGGAATTCTGGAAAAGCTCGAGGGCCTTTAGCGACATAGCAAAAACATTCATGCCCGCCATGGCACTGGACTTCTCCGCTCTATCCTGGATGTCGCCTTGACTCCTGGGAGCTGTACGGAGGATCAGAATGTACTTAGTGCCAGGGGCCGCGGGCAAGTGGACCGCCGCCTGAATGGGCATCTCTTCCTGGATACACACGGGTTGGCAAGATATTCTCGGCATGCTAGTGGGGAGGCCCTTGGAGGCAGCCCCCCCCCTCAGCCTAGGGCCTGTCGCGGGGACAGGCGGCAGCTGCGCTGACTCCGCATAGTGGCCTTTCTCGCGGGGTGTGCGTGCTAACTCCGCGTCATCCGCCTTAGCCATCATCACCTGTTCGGGGCTCAGCGGGGGGATGACGGCCATGAGGTCCGCCAAGCACTTCGATAAGCCAGGCCGAACGTGTTCGAGCAATCTGAGGTGCGTGTGGAAGTTGAGACCGCATGCCATGCACGCGGTGCCTGCAACGTAGCTGGGGGCGGGGTCTAGGTGGGGGTGGCACTTCGAGCGATGGGGGGCCCATGCGCCCTTGGTGGCCAACACCGCCCCACAATCCAGGCAGGGATACATGGTAAGAGCCGACGGCGGACGCAGAAACGACGGGAGCGCAATACCCTTGGCGATGCAACACCTCCGCCACCCGTCCTTGAATTCTTCGTGGCGCTGATCGTCCAAAAATTTGGCCCTAGCAGCCGATTCCGCTTGCTTGCAGATTCGCTTCCAAAACTTGTTGCTGCTTGACCTCAGGAGCCACAACCACCACGCAGGGGGCCCTGACGGCAAGAACTCTCTGGCTAGATTCACATGTCTGCTGAGCCACAACAGGTCATCGCAACACAATGCGGACCATGATTCGGGCACTGAAGCTAACTCGCCGAGGATAACCAGCAGACAAGCAGGCGCCGATTTGAGAAGCCTGGGAAGAAATCGCAGCCGCCTGAGCCTCAACACCAGCTCAACGGGCATGAGCTCACATGTGACAAAGACTCTGTGGTCTGCAGCAGCCTTACCTGAACTAGAGTCGTAGCCGAGACCAGCCGCCAATCTAAACGGGCTCAAATAGTTGTGCGCCAGGGTCGCCATCTGTTTGACGTTTAACTTGTGTCACGTGAGGGCATTCAACAGAAGGTGCGACGTGCACAAAGAAGTAACATACATTAACATGGCTCTTACATTGACTTGTTTCCTGGGGAAAACCGTGCGCCCCAGCACCCCGAGCGGACGTCGCTGCTGGTGGCATCGGTGCGCCAGCTCGGGTCCCAGAGAAATTTGATGGTCCTGATAACTTCCCAAGTGCTTGTAGGTTCTAGTGAGGCACAGGGAGACGCCCAAGGAAGGGACGAGAAGACCAGTGACGGCCAAGGCCGCACACTCCCCTCGGGCCTTCCTGGAGCCTGTGCCGCTGAAGAAGGCCATGAGCTCCGTCTTGCCCGCCTTCCAGTTCATGGTGAACCCCCTAGACTTGGTTTCTTCGTACATAATCGTGACGAGGGCGATGGCCGCCTCCTTCCAGAGCCTAGCGTCTAACAGCTCGATGCCGTTGACGAGGTCATCCATGAAGGCAGGATCCCATGCATATTCCTCTACATGTTCGTGCTCGCGACCTCTGAAAATCATCCGAGACGGGTCCACATCCCTAGTCTTCTGAAGATACCCCAGAGCTCCTAATCTACTGTTGACCGAGATTATGATTGGGTCGAAGGCTATGATGAGCAAGAGGTCTGCTAGTGGCATGCCTGGCCTCGTACCTAGGCGGGGGGAAACAAC